TGAATGGGAGCTGGGCAGGTCCCCCCATGGTCCCTTCGCCCCTCCTCCAGCCCCCACCCCCACTTACCTGGCTCAGAGCCCAGGTCCAGGTCCCTGCAGCCTGCATGCTGCTTGCCCTGCACGGACAGGCAGCATACTTCAACACCAGGGCAAAAGCCAGCCATAGAGATGCTCTAGGTGGCTACCAGAGCAGCTCTGTAGAGGACCTGAGCTTCCAGTTGCATCAGGGCACAGTGCCCTGCCCTGCCCTGCTTTTTTCACTTAGGTTTTATTTTGGTACCTGGATATCCAGGTACCAAATTCTGCCCCCATGCTGCAAATATGCAGCACTGCAAGAGGCATGTGTGCACTTGTCTGGACGCATCCAATGAGGTCAGGAAGCTGATGGTACTCACCTTTAGTAGAAACTTGGACTATAAAGGAGAACATTTTCCTAGCCCACAGTCTAATTAACCCTGCTGCTTTTCCCCCTGGACCCACTGCTTCTTATTCTGAGAGTCTTTATTTAAAGGCAACATGCCAGATTCAGCAAAATCTGGATGCAGGCTCAATACCCTGAATGATAAGGGCTATGTAAGAGCCTGGATGAGAAAAAGAGACACAAGTGGCTGCCCTTAGATCAGCAGGTACACTAAGCATACCTCAGACACCAGGATTTGCCTGTGAATATTCCTTGTGCAGAAACACGCCTTAGTAAACCCTAAAAAGAAATGATGACAACCCAAATATGGAAACTATTATAGTGATTTCCCAAGGTGATGTATCCGACATAAGCAATATTATGGGGAGGAAGGAGAGGAAGCAGGGATCATAAGTACTTTAGCCAAAAATGTTGTACTTCAAAACTGCCAGCCTCAAGAGATCAAGAATCATGAATCAGAGACCTAACACTCCTGACATGGCCCCAAAAAACATACTTAACCCCGCCCTACCACTAAAATGTAGATTTCAAGCTGCCTGGGATTTCTGAACTGTCTCAAGCCATCTCCTAGGAGTGTGTGGGAGTGACAGTAAACATTGACCACCTTCCCAAATTAAGTCAAAAAGATAATTTTGGCCTTTTCACCATGCAAATCAACTGACCCCATTGATTCATCTGCCCCTGCTCAGCAATTGACTTTGCCTTCTAAATTCAGAATCAGTGATGCTCCTGTAGTTCCTTTCATAGTTCTGCGTGTACCTCAATTCTGACCACCCCCATACTCCAGATCTACTCCTTATCCAACCTGTTTCCTATCAGCTCTTCACGTCTGCCCTGACTCAGACCATCAGTCCTTCCTCCCTGCTCCCTTGACTGATGTTGCCAGACCCACAACTGTTTCTACTGGGATTCTTCACTTCACTCACCCAGCTCAGGTGGAACCACTGCAGCAGGGATCCCTTCTCCATCTCCCTCTTTCCCTTCTCAGTCTGCTTAAAGAGGGAATGGGGGAGGGTCAGCATGCCCCTTTCAGGAGAGAAGGGTGGAGGAAGGACGGCTGTCTTAACTGGTAGCCCCTTTCTGCTTCTTCCATCTCCTTGCCCTTCTGTGAGAACTGAATTGGGTTGCTGATGGGAGTTGTCCAGCCCATGGAACCACTCCATGCAGCCCCAGGGCTCTCCATAGGTCCAGAAATTTGGTAGTGGGGGAGCAGTGGCAACTTAATTGCATCCAGAACCACAGCAATTAACACTGCCACTTGTCTTCCACTGACAAATGTATGGACCTGTGGGGAGCCCCAGAGGCTGGATTGCTCTGAATCATTATATTCCTTGATAATATTTAATATCATCCCTTAGAAGAAAATATCTGTTCACTGAAATCAAGATAATAAAGATAATACATTAAAATATTGTATGATGATGTTATGTAGCCCACTGTGATACATTTTTAAACACTTAGCAAGA